AATTTTGAGTTAATTAATCAATATGTGAATATTGAGCCTGGTGCTTTAAATGATGCCAAAATTCAGACTGAAGCTCTGGTTGTAAAATTAAATCAATATAAAACCGAATTTGAGGAGTGGTGCATTATAAATTACAATAAAAAGAAAGTTGAGGGTATTAGAGAACTGAAGTATGTCAATCCTGAGGCAGTTTTAATTCATAGTTGTGGTGCATGGAAATGAAAAGAAATTCATCTTGACTTCCTTGCTAGGTTGACTCGAGGGAGAAAACTTTCATTTGATTATTAAGCTTATGGTATGGAACATTAGGGGCGTTGTTGATATTAATGCCTCTAATAGACTCAAAAATATTATTAAAACTCATAATTTGCCTTTATTTGGCATTTTGGAAACTATGGTAGCTTCTCATAATAATGGGAGAAATATGAGGCTTTTCAAGAAGTTTAATTACTTTGCTAACATTAATAGTAAAATTTAGTTTTATTGGATTAGTTCTATCAATTTGGAGGTTATTGTTAATCATGATCAATTCATTCACTTGGGAGTCAGTTCTGGAACTTATTCTTTCATTACTACTATTCTTTATGTGGGATGTTCTAAAAGTGCTTGGCTGGAATTATGGGACAATCTTATTACTTTTAAAACTGGTTGTAATGAGCCCTGGATTGTTGGGCGTTATTTCAATGTCATTCTTTATGTAGCTGAGAAAAATGTGGCAATTATCCTAATCAAAGGCTTATTATTGATTTTAATGATGTTTGTTAGATGCTGGTCTTTTTGATTTTAGGTATATTGGCAATCCTTTCACTTGGTATCATGGTAAAATTTTTGAAAGACTAGACAGATTTCTTGCTAATGATATTAGGATGATTCCTTTTCCTATTAATTTTGTGATGCATCTTCCTATTATTTCTCTAATCATGCTACTATTGTTAGTATTAATCTGATTAATAGACCTCAGGTTTATTAATTTAGATTCCTTGATATGTTGACTCTTCATGAATCCTTTTTACAATTGTCAAAGATTATTGGACCAGTGAGGTCCAAGGTAGTGTGGGCAAGAGATTGTGGTTATTGCAGAAGAATTTGGCATATAAATTGAGAAGATGGAATCAGGATATTTTTGGCAATCTTCATACTTTAGTTATGTCCGCCAAGGAGAATATGAAGAAACTAGAAGATGAATATAGTAATGATTTAGTTGATCACTAATCTTTCTTGGATGGCCAAGAAAGGCTTGTTTCTGCTATTAATTTAGAGGAGGCTTCCTATAAGCAAAAAGCTGTGGGTCATCTTTTTAAGGATGGAGATAGGAATTTTGCATATTTCCATGCCTTTTTTAAAAAAAAGAAGAATTGTTAACACTATCAAAAAAATTAAACAAGACATACTAATGTGCTTTATTCTTCTGATTCCATTGAGGCTGATGGGGTTAATTATTATTCTAGATTGCTTAATAGTGGTAACAATGATCTTGAACATATTGGTATGAGTCTTTTTGTTAATGATTGTGCTTATGTTGTACATATTGAGCTTATTGTTATTCCTGATGAAACTAAAATTAAAAATGGTTTAAATAGTATTGATGGTAATAAATCTATTGGACCAGATGGTTTTTTTACAAAATCTTATAAGGTTTGCTAGTGGATGTTAGTGTTGTGCGAGATGTCTTCAAAGGTATTAATTACAAAATCTTATAAGGTTTGCTAGTGGATGTTGTTAGTGTTGTGCGAGATGTCTTCAAAGGTATTAATTTACCCAAGTACTTTAAAGCTTCTAATATGGTTCTTATTCCTAAAGATAAGGAAGGTTTAAGATGGGATGCTTTTAGAACTATTAGCCGCAATACTATTATTTCTAAAATTGTTTCCAAAGTTGTGGTGGGTAGACTACAACCTTTTCTTAATAAGTTGATTTCTGGACTACAATTAGCTTTTATTAGGGGCAAATTTAATGAGAAAAATGCTCTTATTGCTCAAGTATTAATTCTTGATTTGGATGAAAAGGACGAAGTGGTAATATTATTTTTTAGATGGATATTTAAAAAACTTATGATACTCTTAGATGGGAATTCATTTTGAAGGTTCTTCAGGCCAAAGGCTTTAATTAAGCTTACCGTTGTATTATCAAGAGGATTTTGGAGAACAACTATTATTTTATACATATAAATGGAAATAAATGTGTCTTCTTCAAATCTTCTAAGGGAATTAAGCATAGAGATCTTCTTTCTCCTTTTATTTTCATTCTGACTTTTGATTATCTTTCTAGATATCTAAATATGCTTTTTAATAGATACTCTAGCATGCTTTATGTTGGTAGGGGGAAATTTGGAATTAATCAACTTGCTTATGTTGATGACCTCATTATTTTCACTGATGCTAATAAATGTTCTATTAAATGATTATGGAAGGGATTGGAGCATTTTCAAGCTGCTTCAAGGTTAACTTGTAATCATAGCAAATGCATTGTTTATTGTTCTAAGTGAATTTCTGCTTAAAAAAAGAATTGGATCTACGATTTTACTAGTTGTGCAAAAGAGAATCTTCCAATTGTTTATTTGGGTTTTAATTTGGATAAAGGCTGGAGAAAGGAACATCTTTTGTTGGTATTATTAATAAGGTTGAGAGAGGATTATGTCTTGGGATAATCTTCTTTATCTCATGGTGGCAAAGTAACTTTACTTAAGAGTATTCTTACTTCTACTCCTCTCTATTCTTTCTTCTTTATGAGGATGTCGTAATCTAATTGTAAAGGATTGGAGAGTATCTTCAATAAATTTTTTTGGGCTAGTAAGGATCTTAAGATCCATTGGATGAGTTGATCTAAAATGTGCAAGCCTACTAGTCATGGAGGTATAGGATTTAATTCTCACTAACTCTATGAAAATCAATTTTATGAAGTCATGGATGCATTTAAGAGAGGATAAATCTCTTTGGGCTTATATGATGAGGAAAAAGTATTGTGGATTAAATCATTATTTGGCGTTTACCACTAAGTCCTCAGATTCATTTGTTTGGAAAGAAATGTTAAAGGTGGCTAGCAGTACTGAAAAACTTCTTTACTAGGAAATTGGGGAGGGCTTATGCAGCTTATGGTTTGATAATTGGCTTGGTAATGGACTTCTTGTTTTTTGTTATGGGGGTCCTTTTGAGGTTGATTTGCTGGTGAAGGATGTTTGATCTTATAATGATTGGAATCTTCTCAAATTTATTGAATTAGTGAGTAAAGAGGATTCTGTTTAGATTTCTAAAATCTATTTTAAATGTGGGTTGGATAGAGTTAAAGTTAAAAGTATTTTGGGCAAGTCTGTTTCTAATACTTTTGTTAACTCATTTGTTCCTTCAAGTGTTTCTGATCTTAAGTGGGCTTGGAATTCATTTGTGAAACCCTCTCAATCTTTTTTCTTTTAGAGGTTACTCCATAAAATTATTCCTACTGGTGATATTCTAAAATTGAAGGGTATTTGTTTACCCTCTAGATATCCTTTATGTAAGATGCATGAAGAAGAGGTGGATCATTTGCTCTATAATTGTTCCTTTACTATTTAGTTGTGGGATTTTGTTTTCTCTTTTCGACAGGAAGTGTAATTGGTTGGCATTTCAATCTCTTGAAGGAATAATTAATGGTTGGAGAAAGACTGGCGGTATGTTCTTTGCTTTGATTCCAATCGTTGTTTTTTTTTTAAATTTATTTGGACTACAAGGAATGAAAGCAAACATATTGCTTTGATTCCAATCGTTGTTTTTTTTTTAAAAAATTTATTTGGACTACAAGGAATGAAAGCAAACATGTTTAGCCATATGATTTCCAAATTCTCTTACTTTAATTACATTAAAAGTTTTGTGTTTAAGACGTTAAAGTTTGGCAGATTTAAGAAAGTTGTCAATAAGTATGTGATGAAGGTTTTTCATAAATTCAATATTACTCCTTTTGTAAAGAATAAACATGTGATTAATTTGATTTGGTGGAAAACACCAGTTAGAGGCATACTGAAGTTTAATACTGATGGCATTTGGACTCAGTAAGCTGTTGGAATTGGCAGAATTTGTAGGAATTTTGGTTAGTGTATTTCCTGAAGTTTTGCTCATGTTTTCACAATATTTCCTATTATTGAAGAGGCTGAAGCCTTATTGTTTCATTGGAAATTGTGGTAAGTTGTGGTTGGGATAATATCATTATTTAAATGAATTCAATTAATTTGTAGAATTAATGTTGCAGGAGGAGATTCCCGTGGAATCTTATACTAATCAGTTGAATGAATTTAGTGCAAGTTCAGTTGTTGTTTATTCGATGTGCAGGTAATCAATGTGTCGTTTAGGTTGTGAGAAAAGGATTGGTATCCAAAAGTTTCAATTTTACTTATAAGGTTTCGTTGAAGCTTTCTCGATGCTTAAAGGGGATAATATAAATATTCCCTTTATTCGTTTTAATATTTGATTTTAGTTAGTTTTTTGTTTGTTGCATGAGTTATATTGTGACTGACGGTTTTTAAGCTTTTTCATTTCTTAAATGAGTTATAGCGTTGAGCTATTTTAGTAGAACTGTTGGCCACCATCTTGTAATATTTTTTTTTGATGAAATAAAATTTTCTACGGGATTACTTAACAAAAGGTAAGAAAACAAAAACCATTGTATTAGATGAATATGTATATTGACATTAAATTATAGGAATATTTACATGCATACCACCTACTTCCTATTTATCTAAACTTCTAACACTCATACTTTCTCCAATTATACCTCCCAAAATCACATAAAAATACCAACATTTTAAATTTCAAAAAAAAAAAAAAAAAAACTTCTCAGGCATACTAGTGTCAATATGAAAAAATTGAAATTTTGGTGTTAAATATGTATATGCATAGCAATTGAGTGGTGAGTAGAACTTCCTAAACTATAAAATTTAGATATGTATAATTAAATAATTTTTAAGTAATCAAATTGTACCTTAGCTAATGTACCATATAACAATGCATGATGTTGCAAGCAATCAAATTGTACTTCAGCTATTAACTCACATAGCGACTTTGAGAGAATATCGTTGCCATCCTTAATGTCGATCTCCTTCCAAATGTCAGGACCTAGCATCAATTCATTTGTGAAGATCAGGCCTGACTTTAAGAATATTGCACGGACATAAGAAATTGAGAATCCACCAGTCTTTATTTTATTAGTACATAATAATAATTATATGTAAGTTAGATAAATAGGAATATTTTAGATGCTGTGTATGTAATCATCAGAAAAAAGGTTTCTGTTTTTGTTTTTGTAGATTAACATCCACCATTGGAAACATGCATCCACCTTCAAGTCGCATTTGACGTGAATACTGGAGCAGTGAAATCTGACATCCCACGGCTGCTTTGATTTCTTCAATCCTTGACAATGGTTTTCACTATTTTCACTTCATGAATCGGCCTACAAATCAATAAATAAAACATGAAAATATGTATTTGACAGATAATCAAATGTCACTTAAAATCCCAACACATTTTTTTTTTATTTTTATCGAGTTCTAAATGGTTTGATCATGAAACGCATAAAAACATTGATTCGTTAGTTCAAAAAAATATCATATGGGTGCTAGATTTTGTAAATAGCAATGTTTTAGATGCTATGTATGTAATTTCCCTTATTTATAATGCTTTTGTATCGAAAATCTAAACATGAAAAGGTGTATACTAGTTCTAAAAAATTAGTGATAGTGATATTTTTCATGTGAAGTTGAAGATTCGAGTGTCATGTGAATATGAAAGTTTAGTTAGATATGTAAATTTATCAGAATTGTATGGTATGCAAATATTCTGTCCAGTTCCAAGCGTGAAGCACAACTGTGCTAAGCAGGTGTAACTTAGAAATAAAAGAAGTGATAGACTCCGTGAATTACAAGCATTACAAACATGTGAACATAGTAATCATTTGAAATTATGCTTTCAAGCAAACACATGTTATCAGAATTCTTTTTTACAAAAAGAGCACGAGTCACACGTCACGATGACTTTTATGAAATTACAGCATAATATTAAATGAGCTTTGTGAAAATGAAAAGTCATTAAAGCCATTAATGCTCATTCACACTTTATTCAGGAAGATATTTAAATTAATCTCCTATGGTCAAGGATTTTGAATGGTAATTTTCATATATTTGTTGCTTCTTGTTACACAAGGTTATGCGTACATTATTCTTTTGATAGTGCTCGAGGGGAAGTTCTTCCACCAGTCAAAAGGAAAAATACCCCAACCTTGAGTATTAGCTCACTATATGTCTTAATATTTGGACAACAAAGTCATATATCTATGAAATGACAACAGCTTGCATCCTAAATAAAACATTATTGTTCACAATAATTTAAGCATTTGGCATATGAATAAAGACATGATTATATGAAAAACATAATTGCAATTTTTTTTACTAAACAAATAGCAACTTGTTATTTGTAGTGCTTAACAAGTGCTATTTATTGCAGACCTATTAACTAAAATCTTTTTAACTGTTCCTAGATTTGTGATATTATAATTAACCTCAATACAATCTTATTGTGTGTGATTGCAGGATCAATCAAAGATATTAGTTCGAGAAATTTCATTTCACAATATATCTTCAATCCAATAAAATTATCACTTGATGCAGGTTCAAAGTATATCTTTCAGCCTACGAGATGCACAATAGTGAACCAAGATTTATTTGCTATAATATTTCTTTTTCTTTTAGCATTACTATTGTTTTCAATCACTCTGCAGATGATTGTTGTTTTAATTTCTCATATAAAAGTTTTTAGAAAAATAAAAAACAACATATTATTCAAGTAATCCTTTGGCAGATCTTTCTAATCAATTGCAGGTACCCTCACCATTTTACCATTATAGACAAACTAAACTAAGGATCAAAGGTACTTCATGGGATGGAAGAATAAACCACCAATTGAAAACACATGCGTCATAAAAGAAAACTTAGAAAAGCAAACACCACAACTTGCAAGAGAATACTAGAACTTCAACTCTAAAATGCAGAAGTTCAAATGGGCCCAAAGTAGTCGATGCAAAACAACAAGTAGTAAATTGTCATCACACCCACTATTAAGAATTTAAAAAAGAGAAAATGAGACATAATGGCGCCATCACAATATTAATATCAATGGCCAAGAGAGTTTCATAAACTATGCATGATTAAATAAGTCCTTATGTTAAAATATTGAAAATTGTATTCATTTAAAAATTAAAAATTTTAATTGTTAAACTATCAATCATTATCTTAATGTGGGAGGCCCTTTATTTTTAGTTTTCCGTTCTTTAATATGTTTTAATCCTACACTAGAAAGGAGGTAACCACTCCATCAAGCGAATCATATTTGCTTTCTTAAATTTTCATTTTTCCTCCTTTCGTTGTTTCTTTGAATTTCAACTATTGGAACCCAATAGATTAAATATTTATTTGGATTAATGAAGTAAAGTTTTTGGCATTTTGAAAAAAGATTCCCCGACTCAAATTAAAATGATTCCACTACACCTCCATATTTCCTTAAATTTTAATTTTTTTCTCCTTTATTAGTTTCTTTGAGTTTCAAATTATGGAACCCAATGTAATAGTTTAAAAAGATGTTCAGATGATGCACCAACAAACCAAAAAATAAAAACAGTAGCAACAAAAAATTGCCTAAGCCTCCTTTTAAAGTCAATGGCCAAATTGCGACAATCCTTAATCAAGTATTGTCCATACCCTTCCACCACCCTTAAGCGTATTGTATTTCTATCAAAAACTCTTGCTAGAACCTTCATACATTCATCTAATACTTCCAAGACCATCTAGCTCCTACACACTATTATGTTGTCCCCCAATTCACCAGTCAAAATTAACATAAATTAAGCACTTCGACATAGTTTAGTGTAGGTTGCCTAGAACACCCCAAAAGCTTTAAGAAATCCATCAAAATTTTCAAAACACTTTTCCTAACATTCCACTTGCAATCAATAAGCTTATTCCCCAAATCCTTGGAGTGCCAAAAATTGATATGACAAACCAACTCGATTTGAAGACGACTAAGAAAATCATAGTTCAGGTTGACCTAATTATATCTTGGAATGGATTCAGGATAAGAATCCCAACACATTTAATTTTTTATATCGGGTTTAGATTGACCAGCCAACCCGAACCTGAGCTATCAACCTTAAAATGCCTAAATTTTACACATCAACCCAAATTTGACTCAAATTTACCCCAAAATTGAACTGAATAATTGTTATGCTTATGCTTAATGGGCTATGTGGATCAATCTGTTTGTATTCTATCCGTTTAATATTCAGGTCGGTTTCGAGTCAATATTGGTTCAAACCCTAACCCAAACAACGAACCCAATTTTACACCCTTACTAAATCCTCCATCACACCAAAACCATAATATGAAACTCGAAGGAGTAGCATAAAGATTTAGTCAGCCACTAAGGCTTGGTAGGAAACTACCTTGGCCCTCCATAATAAATGAACTTCATCAAACACTTAGTAGGTTATTCCTTAACACTGAAGCACCCTCCTATCAAGTGTATTGGACCAACCATTTCAAATAATTCAACTTCAGAAAAAAATAATTTATAGAAAGCTTTCTTAATGCAAGGAAATGTGTCATGCATGACTTTAAAGTTCTTAAGTTTTTTTTTGTAGTAATTTTCAAGCAAGCATATAGCATAAAACATTTTGAGAGTGTGCTTAAAATAAATCATAAGTTAATCCAAAACAATATGAAATTAGCTCTTAAATGAGGGCTAACACTCTATGTTGAACGCTAATTTGTGCATGAAGTACTGCCTTACAAAGGAAATTACTCAATATAGATTTTAAAGATTTGTTCACACAAAAGTAATGGACCAGGCTTTGTAGGGGAGGCAACTAATTGGAGTTAATTAACTAGCATCATAAGCTTTACACAAACATACCATAACATTTAATTTTTGTATTAATTTAATTAAAGGAAAACTAACCAAATTCACATTCAAAGATTACCCCTTGATGGATGATAAATCTACCAATCATAAGACAAATGATCTTGATTACTCCTTGCTCCTTATTTTGAAATTGCCAAGTTCAAAACTTTGGCTTTGATACCAAAATTGACTTGGCCTAGTAAGGATTGATACAGAGATTGCATTTTTTGTAGGAAAGTGTACACAATGTAGGAATAATCCTTGAGATAATTGGAGGATGTTACTTGCTATGGAGGGCCAAGGGAGAGATCAGCTAAGCCATGGTGGCAAGCTAAACCCTAAAGCAACTCCTTTGGATTTCAAATTAGGATTATGGCGTAGAAATGGATTTTAGGGCATAGATCTACCTGAAAATCTTAGGGGAATATAAGGAGATGTGTTCAGAATTTTTTTTAGTGGCATAATGGTAGTTTGATCAAGACTAAATCAAAGTGCAAAGTTTGACTGATTTTGACTAATATTGAAATAGTGGATTGAGGAAGATCTGGATGGAGTATGTAAGGGTTATAGGGCTTGAGAATGTTTGAGAGATATATAAAAAAATCAAATCTGAAGAATTTAGTGATAAGTCAACAAGAGATTTGCAGGGAGGTGAAAGGAGGACCCAAATAGCCAAGAGTTTCCCTAATTTGGTAGTCCACATCCAGGAGACATGAAAAACTTTTTTATTGTTGTAAGGCAGGAAAAAAAAACTTGTAGAATGTCTTGGGAATGTGGCAGAATAATTTATGAGAGGTTAGCATCAAGTGGAGAAGAGATACCAAAGGCTTCCATTAAGAAGAATCCAAAGAGGAGGGGTCGGCCACTAAGCTCTTAAAGTTAGAATTCCACTAATGTTTTTTGTCAAATCACAAAAAGCACTTATTTATTTATTCAAGCAAATACTTACAAAAATTAAATCAAGTTCTACTGATTTAAATTTAAGAAAGTTTAAAATGAAGAAACATTAAAATTATACAACCTTGGATTGAAAAAGATAATAGAAAGTAAAATGGAACCACTCCAATTGGAAACCTATAATGAAGTTAATGCCAGTCATCTAGCCTTGGATTAAAACAAAGCAAAATATGAAAATTAATAATAAAAAAGAGTCCCATTAAAATTTTAAAATTTCAACTTTTATCATAAACACAAATTTAAATATTTTAAAATTAGACCATATTTAATTAAAATTTATTGTTGAAGCCCTCCTGACCCTTGATCATGTGATGAGGTCGTCATGAACCTAAATCTTATCTTGAATTCTTGACCTTACTCAGTAAAATCATAATATTTTTTTGCTTGATGTTTTATCAAATTATCAAAAATTGGAAAAGTGTAAAACCCCATATTAAACAATAGCTTATGTATGTATGTATGTATGTGTGTGTGTGTGTGTGTGTGTGTGTACATACATACATACATATATATATGAGCTATTTTTTAATATGGGATTTTATTCGT